GTGACTGTTTAGTAAAGTTATGTGAAATTTATTTGCTTGTTTTTTTCTTTCTTTACTGTATGACTTCAGTTTTACACAAAAAGCATTCAGAATTTGACTTCTAGTTCCCCTTAAGATGACTTATGTTTCCTCATATAACAGATCTGAACTACTTGTTTGCAAACTGTTCTGTACCAAAACTGTTTATCTCAATTTTTTCTCAAACAAAATGTACACATTAGCTTAAGCATATATATGATTCATAATTTACAAAAATGATCAGTAATCCATTTTCCTCTTTCTCACTTCAGTGCAACACATTGCTGTAATAATACTACAGATTAAATTTTTATTTCCCTGTGCTGCCTAAACTGTGCCTATTTATTTTATAGATATGATAAAGCTACTTACCATTATCATATCTGTAATATGCACATTGCAACACTAACCCTACTTAGTTTCTTCTTTCCCAACCCTAACAGAAAAACTGTTTCATATTTGTAGGGAAGGACAGAATGGAAATGAATGAGGAAAGAGACCTCTGTATATTTTCAGGGAAAGGTTAAACTGGGTGGGTTAGTTTTACATGTAGCTTTGTGTTTAATCTTACAAATGATCAGTAGATCATCTATAGCAACAGCAAAACTGAAGATATGAAAGAGATGAAATCCAGACAGAAATTTATGTTGTGTGGAACCAGCCTCATATTTAAAGGTTATATTTTTTTCTGTGCCATGAAAACATCTTATAATATTGTGTTCTTTCCTCTGTTAGCCATTTCCTGTGGGCATCCTGGGGTACCTGCCAATGCAGTTCTTTCGGGAGACAAATTTACATATGGCTCCATAATTCACTATTCTTGCACAGCGGGTCGTAGGCTCATAGGAAATTCTACTAGGGAGTGCCAAGAAGATAGCCACTGGAGTGGGACGCTGCCTCACTGCTCAGGTACTTATACCAACCATCATCTCAATGTCACATTGTAATTACATGAATAATGTTATTCTCAACTGATTTTTAATGACAGACAGATATTCGTCCAGATAAACATTCAGAGGGACCTTGACAGGCTTGGCAGGTGGCCCATGTGAACCTCATGAAGTTCAACAAGGCCAAGTGCAAGGTCCTGCACATGGGTCAGGGCAATCTGAAGCACAAACACAGGCTGGGTGCTGAATGGATTGATAGCAGCCCTGACGAGAAGGACTTGAGTGTACTGGTGGAGGAGAAGCTGGACGTAAGCTGGCAATGTGTGCTTGCAGCCCAGAATGCCAACCATATCCTGGGCTGCATCAAAAGCAGCATGGCCAGCAAGTCAAAGGAGGTGATTCTGCCCCTCTACTCTGCTCTGGTGAGACCCCACCTGGAGTCCTGCATCCAGCTCTGGAGCCCTCACCACAGGAAAGACATGGACCTGTTGGAGCGGGTCCAGAGGAGGGCCACAGAAATGATCAGAAAGCTGGAACAGCACTCCTCTGAGAAAGGCTGAGAGAGTTGGGGCTGTTCAGCCTGGAGAAGAGAAGGCTCCAGGGGACACCTTGTTGCGGCCTTCCAGTACCTGAAGGGGGCCTGCAAGAAAGCTTGAGAGGGACTTCTTACAAGGACATGTAGTGATAGGACAAGGAGTAATGGTTTTAAACTGAAAGAGCATAGATTTAGATTAGATGTAAGAAAGAAATTCTTCACCATGAGGGTGGTGAGGCAGTGGAACAGGTAGTGCAGGGAAGTTGTGGCTGCCCCTTCCCTGACACTGTTCAAGGGCTTCAAGGCCAAGTTAGATGTGGCTTTGAGCAACCTGGTGTAGTGGAAGGGGTCCCTGCCCATGGCAGGGGGTTTGGAACTAGAAGATCTGTAAGGTCCCTTCCAGCCCAAACCATCCAATGGTTCTATAATTCTATAATTTGTTTTGTTTCTTTTCCAAGTAAACCTTAATTTGACCAATAGCCACTCATCTGAATTACAGCTATGTATTAAAATATTCTCATATATTCTCTCATTCTCTTTGTCATTACTTCGTAAATTTACTCATTAGATGTTATAGTTGCAAACTTCAGTATATAGAAGCCAAAAAATGCTACGTAAAACCTGGTAGAGTTCTTAAAGAGGGTGCATGTATTAAATTTTATTGTTATGAGCACTTTTTTTGTGTGTAAATAAAGGTTGTCACATACAAAAACATTGATTAAAAAACACCACAGCAGATGTACTAGATGGTAAACTTCATACATTGTGTTCCTCTTTTCACTTACAGAAATATTGTGTATTAGTTCTACAATGTACAAATACCATAAACCTCTACAATGTTCTTGGGGCTTTCAGGAAGTACAGGAACAGTTTATTCACCCCTAAACTAACTATGCAAATTTAGAAGAAGCCATAAAACATTACACAGATTGTTAAAGAGCTCAAACGAGGATTGACTGCCAAGGACATCCACATTGTATTAATAAGTTTTGTAAGGGAAACAAATGTACACACTTCAGTATATAAGAAAACAAATACCTGACAGGTTTAAGAAGAAAATATCTTTATGAGAAATTTTTTCGATAACTACACATTATAGGATCTTCTTATAGCTTCCCCTAAGCTCTTGGACACGCCCAATGTTGGTATGGTCTTATTTGATGTAGTTCAATTCAGATTCGACCTAATTTAAATAGGGGTAAAGTGTCTAAATTCTGTACTTTGAAAAAGCTCTAAATAAGTGTTCATTGAAAATGGTCCATTCATAAGATGATTCTGCAAGGACGCTGATCAGAATTTGAAACACTGAGGAAAGGAAGTGAATTTAAATCACTATTTCTTTTCTGTTCTCTGCTGCTCAAGGAGGAAAGATTTTACTTAGAGTCTTCTCACACCACTAGATTGCACTGCCAGCATGGTCTCTATGCCTAGACCTGAAAGAAATCTCTGCAGAACAATTATAGTTTCCACAGAGAAGTGGCCTTTTCTTGCTTATTTTAAGCCCACGTTTATGTCACTTTCACCTTTTTATCCAGTATAAAACACCAGAAATGCGATTGCACCAAGACTTTAAAATTTTTAAAGTCAGAGCCCTCTAGTGCTGTTCTCCAATGTTGCCCACCATCATCATGCTGATGGAAAGAAATGTTAATTAAAAAATTAAGACTCTTCAGGTATCAGTCACGAATATGACAGTATTTTTATAGACTCATAGATTTTTAAAACGTTAAAGACCACTCTGGTCATCTCCTATAATGGTCTCCTTCTATGAAGAAGCATGATTATATCCAAAGTGACAGTCTCAAACTTGCTATACTGAAAATCTTATGCCACACACATAATCATAATTTCTAACTTCAGAAAATTTTCATTTATAAAATAAAAGGTTGAGTTTTCTCAATATTTAGTATTGTTATTCCTTTATGCAAGATTTTGTCATGGAATCATAGAACTGTAGAATCACTGAGGTTGGAAAAGACTTTTAAGATCATTACATCCAACTCAACACCACTGTGCCTGCCAAACCATACCCTGAAGTTGCATATCTACACGTTTTTTTGAACACCTCCAGGGATTGTGGAACAACCACATCACTGGGCAGCCTGTTCCAATGCGTGACCACTCTTTCAGTAAAGAAATTTTTGCTAACATCTAATCTAACCCTCCCCTGGCGCAACTTGAGGCCATTGCCTCTCGTCCTATCGCTAGTTACTTGGGAGAAGAGACCAACACTTGCCTCACCACAACCTCCTTTCAGGTCGTTGTAGAGAGCAATAAGGTCTCCCCTCTGACTCCTCCAGACTAAACAACCCCAGTTCCCTCAGCTGCTCCTCATAAGACTTGTTCTCTAGATTCTTCACCAGCCTCATTGCCCTTCTTTGGACACACTCCAGCATCTCAGTGTCTTTCTTGTAGTGAGGGGCCCAAAACTGAACACAGTACTCAAGGTGTGGCCACACCAGTGCCAAGTACAGTGGCACGATCTTTTCCATACTCCTACTGGCCACACTGTTCCTGATACAAGCCAGGATGCTGTTGGCCACCTTGGCCACCTGGGCACAATGCTAGCTTATGGTCAGTTGGCTGTCCACCAGCAGTGAATCATTGTCCTTCATCTGAGAGTTATGCCTATGATGAAAAACCTATTTAAGAAGATACAGACTTCATCCTATGGAATTACTTACATGTATTTTGAAAAAAAAAACCCAAAAGACAGTTTTAATAGAAATTCAGTCTAGATGTACAACTTAAAAATGGAAAACAAAGGATAATTTTTCTATGAACCACAATTTAGACACAGAGGGATTTAGGAGACATGCAATTTTATGTCAAAATTTATAATAAATTGTTGATACTGAGACCATACTTCCTTGACTGTCTTGGGTAGCATTTCGTGTAGCAGATGCTTTATTTGATAAGGCAGTTGACTGGTTCATCAGCCCTAGGAGGACACATTTGAGGTCTGTTTTGCAACACATTCTTTCTCTTCTAAAAATGTAACCAATACTTGCATAGAAATTTAAAGTATAAGGAAAATTATGAGGTGTTCTTTCCGTTCTTGACAAGCATTGACAGCCAAGTACAATTTAGTCTTGACCACGGCTATAGATATTTCAAATACGTTTCTTAAGAAACTTGAATATGGTTCTCTTCACTCTTACTGTTATCTAATTTTTATTATCAAAAGTTACTACTAGCAGAGAAATTGAACATTAAAATACAATGTGTAGAAAATATTATTTATGCCAAAAAGACAACAAATTCGTTGAACTGACAAAAATGACACAGGCACTTCCTGTGTTAACAGTTATCTTTCATCTGTTATTTGTATCACATTCTATGTTTAGGTCTGTATAGGTCTGAGATAATAAGTAGGCCAAAAATACATGTTATTTTCATCTTTAGCTTTGGTTTTACAGCCTCACCCTGGAAGAAAGGTGATTAATTATAACAGAAACAATGCAATTCATAGTACTATTTGCAAGAGAGTATCTTTACTACCATTACATTTGTACATAGCGTCTCTGCCAATAATTCTGCTCTGTTGTGTTTTACAGGAAATAATCCTGGCTATTGTGATGATCCAGGAATACCAGCTCATGGGTCTAGACTAGGGGATGAGTTCAAAACAAAAAGTCTGCTACGTTTCTCATGTGAAATGGGTTATCAGCTGAGAGGATCTGCAGAACGAACATGCCTGCTTAATGGTTCCTGGTCAGGTGTACAGCCTGTGTGTGAAGGTAAGTATTGATACCATTGGCATTTAAGACACCACTAAACAACATTTACTAATGATGTTTTATTCTTTAACTGGAAATAAATTCTATACCAGAAATATGCTTTTATATTGCTCTGCAGAAATTTGATATAAAAGATTTTTCAAGCAGTGCAATTTTTGCTTGAAAACCTAAATCCAAACTGATAAAGTTTTGGAGTATATATTTATAAGAAGATTATGAGAAAATAAATCACAGAATATCACAGAATATCACAGAATAGTAGGGGTTGGAAGGGACCTCTGTGGGTCATCTAGTCCAACCCCCCTGCCGAAGCAGGGTCACCTACAGCAGGCTGCACAGGACCTTGTCCAGGCGGGTCTTGAATATCTCCAGAGAAGGAGACTCCACAACCTCCCTGGGCAGCCTGTTCCAGTGCTCCGTCACCCTCAGAGGGAACGGAGCACTGGAACAGTTAAATAAATATTAAATCTGGAAACAGAGAATAGATACCTGACAATTTAACAATTCTAGTTAAATAAATATTAAGTCTGGAAACAGAGAATAGATACCTGAGTTAAAGGTAAAATTTAAAAAATATTCTTCTGACTGAAGATATGAAAATTGAGTAATAAATAAATCTGTCATCCAGCTTCTAGCAATACGATATTTTCATCTTCTCTTTTTATGTGATGTCTATGCATCAAGGACTGGACAGATGCTAAAATAATGTGTGATTTTTAACTGAGTAGAAATTAATATAGATTCCTCCACATAAGTTAGTCTCATTTTTTATGAGATATACAATTTTTATGCTACCTCTTTCGGAAGAAATGCAACAGACAATATTTCTGGAAATCACATTTTAGAATACGATAAAAAAATGATAAAAAATTTTTACACTTTTTATGCACTGTCACCATTGGAAAGCAGTAATGAAGGACTTCAGCTTCAGTTGTCTGCTACAATAAATGATTAAATGTAAGATAAAATATTTTTAACAAATCCATTATATTTTTTCACCTAGGGAGTTTTTCAAAGTGTTCTCATCCAACAATTGTTCTTTTGCAGTATTCTTCAGCACAGACAAATCTTCTGTCAGTGTAGATATTGCCATAACTTTATGAAAAAGTTAGTGGGCATAGGATCAGTATTTTCAGCAGAAATTTGAAGATTTGAAGTGTTCTTTCTTCTTCTCATACAAGAAGACACGAAGTATAGTAGGACAGCAACACTCAGTGGCAATTAGCGGTGTTTGAATTGCCGCTGTTTTTTCTTTATCTTTTTGCTTCAAGCTTCTGTTTTCAGCAAAGAGAAAAGTCCCTTTCTTTCTATTTTTCTCTTCTCCTTCATTTCCTCTTTTGTATAAATAAGGATGAGATTAGGAGAATACCTTTTCACCCCTACAAGTTCAAGTTCCAACCTACTGAAATTTTCTCTTCAGTGTCTGAAATTTTTATACATAAAAAGTGAGTAAGACTTCATTAAAACAAAGGCATTTAGGTATTATTCCAAGCATCAGTAATACTCAGAGTCTTTTTGTTAGGAAATTGTGTTTATTTTAATGGATCCTATCCTCTATAACTATTTGATGATAACTAGTAGATTCTAACTATAACACAGAGAGCCACCCAGCTAGGGGGTCCTGGGGAATATAAGTTGAACATAATTAGCAAAGTACCCTTGCTGCAAAGAAGGTTAATGGTATCCCAGGCTACCTTAGGAGGAAAGTGATCATTCCCTTCTTCTCAGCATTGGTGAGGCAGCATCTGGAGTGCTAGATTCAGTTCTGGGCTCCTCAATACTACAGAGACCTGGACTTACTGCATGGAGTCCAGCAAATGGCCACTAAGATGATGAAGGGACTAAAGCATCTCTCCTGTGAGGAAAGGCTGAAAGAGCTGGGACTGTCCAGCCTAGGGAACCGAAGGCTAAGAGGCGATCCTCCCCTCCCCTCCCCTCCCCTCCTTTTTTTTTATTCTCCTGTTACAGAAATACTGATTTTTTTAAACCTTTTCTTCACAGCTGTATCTTGTGGGAACCCTGGCACCCCAGCCAATGGTATGATAATATACACTGATGGAATATTATTCTCCAGCTCAGTCATTTATGCCTGCTGGGAAGGTTACAAAACTTCAGGACTAACTACTAGACATTGTACTGCTAATGGGACATGGACTGGCACTGCTCCAGACTGCACAGGTCAGAAATAAAATTTCTTCCTATAAAGCTTGAAAGTAGTAAGTCATTCAGCCTTCCTACTAAAAATGATTATTTTCTTAGATCAAATAACACCATTTTGTCCCATTCATCTGTCTTGTAATACATGAATATATTATGTACCTAAAGGTACATGCCTTTTTAATATCTGATAGATGTTTCCAGAACTATCTTTTTAAGGTGGATACATATGTAACTTTTCTGTATTTGTTTACCTCATGAATGCCAACATTGAAAGCATAACATTATTTCTAATAACAGATGTTACTCTAGAGGTTCCTTTAGCCTTTTGTGTGTGTTTGTGTCTTATATACACAGGATAAAGTCTGCTAGTTCTAAATCAGATTTTGCCTAATCGTATACATTATGTGCCAGTTTTTATTGTGAACCAAATGAATCAGATCTGGCTGATAACCATTCTGCTATGAACCAAGAATCAGGGAGCAGTGAGACTGGGCTACTCCATCAGCGAAAGACAGTGGGGAGCAGAGAGGTGCTGCAAGGCTAGCAGGGCCAGTGGCCTCACTGACAAGGCCAGACCCACAGTACATCAGAGTACAGTGTCATCACAGTACAGTGATACAAAAAAAAAAGGAAATTCATAACTGCTGGAATTCCATTGCACTGTCAACATTAGGCATAATGTGACAAAGATCCCAGTAAGAAGAAAGGAAAAGTCCTGTCAAAACTGCCACTTACATAAGAGTCTGCAGTAGCAGTAGAGTGTACCAGCTTAAGCTAGAGTATTTAAGGCACACATTATTTGGCCCATGCTATTGCAATGCCTCAAAAATATGACTTTTTAGCTTAAAGATTACATTTATTTCATTTTTTCTTGTTAGCTTAAAGATTACATTTATTTTTTTTTTCTTGTTTTGTACACTAAAAAAAGAGGACATTAGCTATAAGTAGTTCAATGTTTGATTACATGTTTATTAAAAAAGAATAAATCCCTTTTTTTCTTTTCCTTACTAGTGATCAGCTGTGGAGATCCAGGTGCATTAGCAAATGGCATTCAGTTTGGAACTGATTTTACCTTTAATAAGACAGTCAGCTATCAGTGCAATCCAGGATACTTGATGGAGCCAGCCAGTTCACCTACCATACGTTGTATAAAAGACAGCACTTGGAACCAGAGTAAACCAATTTGCAAAGGTGTATTTTTGAAATCAAACAGTTTACAAATACTGTTATTATTATTTTATACTGTTATATAATATTATACGTGAAATTCACTAATCAGTGTCTTTATAAAAAATTATCAAAATATTCTCTGGAACAATTGCCATAAAAATGCAACTAAAACATTTCAATAAGTATTTGTGTAAAATTTGTATTTAGTTTATGCATATGCTGTAGTATAATATCTTTCAGAATAGCAACATTAATGACTACGGTAAAACCAATTCACTCTGCAATGAAGATTATCAGACTGCTCAATTTAAAATGCTAGGAATGAAGTATCCATTTTCCCTTCTGGGCCCTTTTATCTTGGTTTACATGGCCAAAAATTATATAAAGGGATCCTGCAAACCAAACTTTCTATAAAATATTCCCTTGTTGCAGTAGTGTAGTCATCATAAATAGCCAAAACGATGCTTCACAAATAGCCAATTACAAGTGCTAACATAAAGGTCATAGTGGGGATGAGGCTGAAATGCAAATAAGGCAGCCTGGTGAAAGCTGTTAGCGCTACTACAGCAGCTCAGGGAGTAAATTTAACAGCCTAGAGCATCTTCTGCTTGTAAAAGGCCTAGACTGCCAACTTGTCTAGCATCGCTTTAAAGTGATAGCTAAGTCTAGCCTACTAATTAAATTTTAGCATATGTATTCCACAGACCACAGTTTCTGTTATAAAAATCACTGGCTGAGTGATTTTACAGTTGCGCTCTTTGTTCGAAGAACTGATGTGTAAATGTAAACATGGTCATTCCAGATTTCATGTCCAGATTTGGACACTCGTTCAGAAGCTGGAAAACATCAGAATATTTTTAAAGTGTTTTAGCCACTAATTACCAATGGAGTTGATGTCCATTGTGTGTTGAAAGCCTTAGAAAATGGGCAGATGAATGAACAAAGTCATATTAAGGTCTTTAAATAGTGCTGCAAAATTATTTTAAAATAAAATGCAAATATTTAGAATTGTAGAATCATAGAAATATATTTGTTGAAATAAGCAGTGTTTATTGAAAACTTTTACCTAGGTCAGTAGCCTTTTGCCAACAACAATCAGTAATGAATATGTAGAGAAGAGATTCAGAACTAGGTAAGATCTTCTGACTTCCAACAACCTAGAGCTCAGGAACTTCCTAAACCTAGAGGTGGTATTTTTGTTATTCAAATTGGTTTTCTGTCTATTACAGGCTGCTCTGTCAGCACAGGAATGCTTTGTTGGAACTGAACAGCATGAAATATTTTTTTAGTTTCAAAAGTATGAATAGATATTATGTTGTGTTCTCCTAAACCATATAAAGTCTTGAAATTACAACTTTTCCTTTTGTGACACAGCTATTACCTGTGGACCTCCTCCACCAGTACTCTACGGGAAAGTGGAAGGATCTGATTATCGCTGGGGTGCCAGTGTGAGTTACAGCTGTGCAGAAGGCTATCAGCTGTCTAACACAGCTATTCTCTCCTGTGAGGGTCGAGGAATTTGGCGGGGAGACATCCCTCAATGTTTGCGTAAGTTTTCAAGGTGCAGTTGTGTTGGCCTTCACCAAAGCTACAATCAGTTGTCTTGGGCTGGAGTCCGTTTCTCGCAGTTTGAAAAGGACTCAGCTAGATCCGGAAATATACGGACTACTGCAGGATTCTCCCTCTTTCTTCCAAAAACCACACCTTGTTACGAAATTGAGTGGTTGTGCCCATTTAAGGTCATGGTCTTCTTTCTCTCCCCAAAAGTCACCTCCATCTCTTATTACCTGATTGGACCAGTCATCATTTGCCTTATTGATAATCTATTTGCATGTTCTGAATTTGTCTAGTGATAAGCATGATGATTAAAATTTTCTCTTACGCTTTTCCTTTTTTTCTTCCCTGTTTGCATTTCCATTGATAGGTGAAAACAAGGATCCTAACCCTTAAGCTCATAGCCTTGCTTTGCTTTCTAAATTCTTTTTTCTTTCCTGAAGGAGAGTACATGCCCTCATATCTTGTTTGTATCTGTTTTTCAGCTTCTAAATCTATAAACTAATCTCTTTCAGAACTTGAAATCTTGTCAGGACTCTGACAGACATTTTTCCTTTTACTTAATTCGGGCAAAAATTTCTAGCCTACTCTTCTGAGGGTGACTGATGTGAAAACTGGATAAATTTTGAAGCATTGTGATATAGCATTCTCTACTTTGAGATTACTTTGTCATCCAAATCTAATCAGCGTTTAAGTGTCTCAGAAGGTCTATTTTTCCAGGTTAAGTTTTATGCTTATAGTAACTATAACAGTGACAATTAATTTTCAATTGCTGTCAAGAATTTATCTGATCTGCAGTCCTACACAGGTAAATGAATATAGCATTTGCACTGATATTCAGTGTGCCTGACTTGCACATAAACCAATGTAGAATACTTAGGTTGAAATGTGCAGTTTTTAATAACTTCTTTTTTTTTCCTTTTTTAAATATTAGCTGTGTTTTGTGGTGATCCTGGTACTCCAGCAGAAGGACGCCTCAATGGAAAAGGTTTCACGTACAGATCTGAAGTTAGTTTTCAGTGCAGACCCCCTTTTATTCTGATAGGCTCTTCAAGGAGGTTCTGTCAAGCAGATGGTACTTGGAGCGGAATCCAGCCAACATGCATTGGTAATAACTACCATTAATTACACTGTTTCTACTGAGAATATTCTGGATAATCTATTACACTATCATAAATCTAGCAATTAGCTTTCCATGTACAGAAAATGTCTGTGTAATATAAAAAGAACTAGATAAATAAGGTTATATTTCAAGTATAGAAAATTTAGCATAAACACAATCACATATGAAGTCATTTGTAAATTTACATGATTGCTTGTCTGCTGGAAAAGCAGAACATCAATAAGTGCAAGCACATAAATTTGTTCCATCTATTTTTAGAATCTTTTAGATATGCAGAAAACTTTGGCAGTTAAAAGACCAGATTCTGTCACTGAGAGTTAAAGGCATTTGTCAGAATCAATCCAAAATCCAAAAGCTTTTTGGACTTTGTGAAAGTGGCTTGTACAGCTCAAAAGGATGAATCATGCTGTGTCTGATCTTTGAAATTCTGATAAACTGTCAAGTACTATCAGTTTCTCATTGACCAATGTGCAACTGATAGGCTTTTTGCATGTTACATAATCAAACTAGCTAACGGAGAGAAGTGCTGGGCACATGTAACTCCCACTGACATCAGAATCCAATCCAACTTGGGGTGACTTGCTACAGAAAATGATTTTGGTGTTATAATAGAAAAATTTTCTTTGATATTGCTAAGCAAACACATTCAGATATAGACTGTAGCCCACATATTTTGCTGAGATATTGGCTGTGTGGAAGAGCTGGAGTGGGCACTCTGAATAAAGGTGGTAAGCATAATTTTTGAAAGCAGCCTGTATTTGTAAATTAAGACATTAATACTCAATACAATTCTTTGACACCAGCTCAAAACTCTTTCTGTCCATAGTTTTTATGAACTGGGCAATCCATCTTACATCTATATCATGTAACAGAGGCAACAAAGTTTACAAAAGCTAAATCTCAGGTCTATTGTGAAGAATCAAATTTGAAAATATTGTAATGACATTCCTACTTATATTTTATAAAGCATAATGTAAAATTACATGGAAGATACTGTATCAAAGACATAGCTTTTCTTTTACATCATTGTTTTAATGCTATAGTAAAAGGAAAATACTAGATCATCTAAAATACTTACAGATAACATTGTCAAGCATTTTGAAAATTAAGGTTAGTGAACAATACCTAGAACAACACATAGAAGTACCATGTGATGGCAAATGATGGCAAGCTTTTCTATTTCTGGACATTGATAATTTCCTTAAAATACTATGAGAATTCTTCCTTTTTTCCCCACTGTTTCTTCAAATGAGATATATCTTAAAAAGTCAATTCAGCTGCATGTGTCTATAATTAGTAATGGCATTCCAGCTGATGATAATTAGTAAAAAGTTCTTTAGCTCTTCGAGCAGCTCAAGGTCAGGATTGTGCTTGGTTTTTATTCTCGCACATTAGGTCAACAGATATCTCACTTTTGAAGCCTTGGTAAATATCGGTCCAGTTGAATTGTTATGCTCTACTGATGGTCAACACTGAAATTGGAAGTTGACCAAGAGTGAAATGACATATCACATTATTGTACGTGATAAGTTCAGTTTTCCCTCTACAGAAAACTAAACATGGTTACACATGAAATATAGTCCCAAGTTGCGTTCTTTGTAGTGCAGTGTCAGGATAAAAGCAGAGTTGGTTGCCAGGGGAGTCACATAGTACAGAAATATCCATTGGATCAAGGCTTGTGCTGTCTGCCTGGTGGATGTGACTGGGCATCCCCAAACCAAATACACCATGAGAATGTGAAGTGGACATTGCTGAATCAAAAATAGTTTCACTGCCTTAAACTACACTCATGAAACTGATCAGCAGATAATTAGTTATGATCTGTTGGCGTACTTTTTTTTTTTGTGGATGGACTGTGTTTTCATTCTTCATCAAGAACTGAGGCAGTAGTCCGTTTGAAATTTTTGTTTCCTTGGTGACATAGAAAAAAATCTGTCAAAAAATTAAGTATTTGACTTATTATAAGAAAGCAGGTTGGTTTGAAGTTTGTTCTTTTTGAGGGGTTGGAGTATTTTTAGAAATCTACCTTAATCATTAAGCTGTTTGTTGGGAAAGAAGAGAAGAAAAATATTTCCCTGTATGTTTTACCTGCACTGTGAAGAGTGGGATATACTATGTATGCAAAAAGGTTTAAAATGATGATCTTAGCAAAAATTAATGCAATCCTCACTCTAAAGTCCACACCACCTAAGATACCTGCAAAAAACTAACCTTAAACAATGGCAATGTACTGAAACAAAGTACTGTGATCTATCTTGGAAACGTAATTGGAAATACAAATGTAGTATGTAGAAATACACACATATCATGAAAAAATCAGTTCCTGTCATCACTAGACATTGTTGAAATGATTTAATCTTTGCAAACAATTTTATAGTATTCTGTCTATACCATAATAATATCTGTTATGTTTTACATTGTATATTAGATCCAGCTCACAATACATGTACAGACCCTGGTACTCCACATTTTGGAATACAAAACAGTTCCAGAGGTTATGAGGTAATTCTTTCTTTTATTAATCAACTTTCTAAAATGAAGATGCATTTAATAGTTACAAATATATTAGATTGTCCGCAGGCTTTAATATCTGACTTAAACCTTAGGAAATTTCCACTCCTTTTTAATAAAATCTCAAGCTTCATTCCAAGCTTTTTTTTTTTTTTTTAACATACAGCTTAAAGAAAGAACTTCTAACCTTGCAATGTATGGTATGTTAAATCCTTTAGGAGACTTCAGTAGGGAGGACTATTTAAAAATTTATTACCGGATATGATATGACATGATACTATTACTTTGCTTTATGATCATAATTCTTTCATACATTGATGAATAGTCGGTAAATACCTACCAAAGACCTGTCTGACCAAAGGCCTTGTAGTCCTTTACAAAAAAGTCAGCAAGTGGCTTTACTGAATTAGCAATTCACATTACATTTCATTCAGTGAGAGAAGGCAAAATTATTCTGTGTGTTGGATCCAGGTTCTCTGTGATAAATGCCCTTTCTATAATTTCCAGATTCCTCACAGCTTATTAATTTACCAAGTGGCAGTCAGAAAAGTGACTGAGGAAATAAACGTTGATGCAACAATGACCAGTCCACAGTCATTATATAGATTGATTAACCTCACGTGGATAGATTCTTCAGGTGTAAATATTTCTGACTGGAATCTAAAATATGTTCTGTTTGGGTTTCCTGTTTATATCTGAACCTAGAGCAGTGTGCTACATGGTATTATTATTAAGTTAGTAGAACAGTTTTTTAAAAAATCCTTTCTGTAAGTTCCCCTGGTTATTGGTACCCTATCTCTCCTGCAATTGTGCTGTTTGTCATTGCTGTGACTTCCAGCTCTTTTCTTCACCTTCTGTTCCTGCGTGGCTTGCAGATGCCAAGGCACTTCTCCCCTATCAATATCTTGTGGCCTCATCCTTAAGATGGTTCTTCTTCTAGTAACAGAATCGTGGAATCATAGAATCATAGAATGGTTTGGGTTGGAAGGGACCTTAAAGATCATCTAGTTCCAACTCCCCCCTGCCATGGGCAGGGATACCTTCCACTACACCAGGTTGCTCAAAGCCCCACCCAACCTGGCCTTGAACACTTCCAGGGAGGGGGCAGCCACAGCTTCTCTGCGCAAGGTGTTCTGGTGCCTCACCACCCTCACAGTGAAGAATTTCTTTCTTATATCTAATCTAAATCTTCCCTCTTTCAGTTTAAAACCATTACCCCTTGTCCTATCACTACATGCCCTAGTAAAAAGTCCCTCTCAAGCTTTCCTGTAGGGTACCTTCAGGTACTGGAAGGCTGCAACAAGGTGTCCCTGCAGCCTTCTCTTTTGCAGGCTGAACAGCCCCAACTCTCTCAGCCTTTCCTCAGAGGAGTGCTGTTCCAGTTTTCTGATCATTTCTGTGGCCCTCCTCTGGACCCGCTCCAACAGGTCCATGTCTTTCCTGTGGTGAGGGCTCTAGAGCTGGATGCAGGACTCCAGGTGGAATCTCACCAGAGCAGAGTAGAGGGGCAGAATCACCTCCCTTGACTTTCTGGCCACGCTTCTCTTAATGCAGACTAGGATACAGTTGGCCTTCTGGGCTGTGAGTGCACGTTGCCGGGTCATGTTGAGGTTTACATCAACCAGCACCCCAAAGTCCTTCTAGGTGCAGTTGCCTTTCTGTCTGTTGTCTCATCTTGACCCTGTACCTGTCCCCATCATCACTTTAAACACAACTCTAATCTTTGCATCTAATTTGACCAGGGGTTTGGTTTTTTTTCTCTCCTCCTTTTATCTGTCTCACAAGTTGTCTTTAATACCAGAATTGTACTGGCCAATTCACCGTTCGAATGTCTGTTGAACATGAAGGCTAATTTTCCCTTCTCATTCACCTCTAGAGGCAATAGCAGGTCTTCATCTGTTCTGTACGTAGTCTTTCTCAATAGGTGCTTTCACTCTCAGATCACTATGAGGTACAACAAGATGTAGACTTCTCTCCAGTTACTAGTGAAGTAGATTTTTTTTTTTTTTTTTATGTGTGATATATAGGCTTCCTGTTTGTATGACTTAGCCAAGCTTCTGTAAACCAGCTTTTAACAATCTTTCCTCATTACAGAAGATGTGATGACAGGTAGCAGACCTTTGAAGGGTTTTCCCCTATCTAACATCATCCAGTCTCGCCCCATTCATTTTGTGCCTTTTGTGCTTCACTGCACTGTGATTATTAAAAATGCCTCCAAAGTTTTATATCCAAGTATTATACAAGGAGTGCACTGCTTTTGTTTTTGCTTTTACCTGTAAAATGAGAAAGAAAATAACTCTGTAATTACCTTGAATCTAGACATTATTTGTTTGGCTTGGGGAAAGTTTTGCAGTTCGTCATTACTTACTGTTACAAGAATTGGTAATTCCACAAGAAGGAAGATCACGGGGAGTCAAGACCAAACACGATCTTTTCTAGTCTCTACTACAGATATGCTGTGTGTCCTTGGCAAGATAGAGAGATGAATATGTTTAAAAACAGGTATAAAGAGATAGGTCTCCAAAACCATATCAGTAATTTCACTATTAAAAATACCAGTGAATGTCCCAAGCCACTTCAGGAAGAGCTGGTGTTGCATTTCACAGGATCACAGAATAGTAGGGGTTGGAAGGGACCTCTGTGGGTCATCTAGTCCAA